GRGGAAATATTTTTWAAAAAATTAAAAAGAGAAAAAAGAGTAAAAGAAACTCACTCGTGCTAGACTTATTGTGACATTTAATATAATAAGAATACAAATCTGAAGGAAGCATTTGATCTGTACGATTTTGACGGAAACGAACATGTAGGCAAAAGAGCTATACTCGGTGATGATAAATCTCGGCYAGAAGTGTTCGATTTAGGATATTTAGAGGATGATTAGCAAAGTCGATGGTGAGGGTGAAGSTGAAGGTTGGCGTTAATTTTGAAGAGTTAAAGAAGATGATGAYTAACGGTGGAGCTTGATGGAAATCAATCGGGAACTAAACTATGAGAAATAAGAACTAAGCTTTGAGAGCACATGGACATGATTGTTCTTCTTTGGTTTCGGTGAAGAACTCGAGTTCGAGARATCAGAATATGGTGAGTCAAAATTGTAGATTTGGTTTTTTGTAAACGCGATGAGTCSTTTATATTACTTTTAGAAATTAAATTTTAAATGTTATCACAGGAGATGGAGAAGCCATGGCTGGTTTAGCCGGTGATTCCRAGACACGTCTCCTTATGTCGCATTCACTATCAAGTTGGTTAAAAATTYGATGACAAAAGCTTGATGCTCTGTTTGAACTTGATTTTTCTTTTGTGGCAGAACATAGAGATCACCATATATAGCATGGTTTATATGGTACGCATTTCTTCCTTTTCCTTACAATAATGACAGGTTTTTAACTTGAAACAATATATACTTACGTTTTCCATGTTGGTTAAACATATACATACATAAGTTTTCATATTTGCTTGATCGAAGATAGAACAGAATATTTCAAAATAGTAGATAGCAGGAATTGCAACTGAACTTTTAAAGTTCAAACAATTCATCTTGATCACCTTGAACAAAAAAAAATGAGAACAAAACTTATTACCAAGTAATTTTGACAATAATTACAGAAATATATATAACTTTTGAATGGTTGAGTAATTACCTTCCACTCTCTAGGATGAGATACAGATATCTCAT